TGGGACTTTGAATGTTTTGTTCAATTGAATCGCTACAGTATTACTTGATACACAGCTCAACAGCAAGCGCTGCGATAGATGGTTCATCACCAAAACAGATGTCAACAGCATTTCATTCATCTGTGCTCGTAGAAGAATTTCAACTGCCTAAAGTCTCGATGGTATCTGGACACAATGAAAGACTAAACTGAACGCTAGAATATCACCTGTTCGAATATCTGTTAATCTAACCTTGCACATTTCAGACCTAACCTATTGTTTTAAGTCAACTGCTAATGTCTGACCAATCTTCCTGTCAGATTTTACTCGCCATGTCTCACGAGTTAACGATGTTCTATAATCTTATTTGACAAATGACCTTAATAAATGGAAAAGACAAGACAAGTTTCCTGCCATAGGTACAACCTCGATTATCGTAAACATAAGTGAGTAGAGAGAAGCGCCTTGGGCTAATATCCAAGGCCATGTTCAGTGAAAACTTGGCACAGTTCGTTACGAAACACAGTGATCTGGCCGCAATTATGGTGGAGGTACTATCTAGCACCTCGCCTCGACGAGCTTAACTCCCTCCAAAGCACGGATACACTATTTCCTGATACGCTAAATACACAATACATATTACCTAGCGCCATTCCGCTTCGGATTTCCAGGCTTGAGAGTCTTACAACATCACGATTTCACAAACTTGGTATTTGAATAAGGCTGAGTTTAGTCGAGAACCCACCGATGTGAGATGTTCCAAAGCGCAATGATGATCAGTTTGTGAGGTGAAGCTTATATGCCGTGTATATCGTCTCAAAACAGCGTTAGATCCATACAGAGTCAACCGCAACGTCGGCCCAGTTTCGAAATTTTTACGTCCCCTTCCCTCTTAGTAGTCTAGCACTTACTACGTACTGCACCCTTTATATCTGTATGTGCACTCTTTATGTTCTTCAGTTTTAATGTATAAAATGCGCACTATTACAAAACTAAACAAAAAACGCAATACTGCTTCAAAAGATCTAAAACTTCAACTTTCAATTTGAAAAAAAAAACAATCTAGACCTCAAACTTTCATATTTGACCTCTAACTTCCAGCTAAAAGCATCCACTCTTCACTAACTTAGAAGCGAACGGAGAAAGCGCAATGTGGCTTGGGAGCGGGAGGAAAGTGCAGTTAACCCATAATGGACGGCGGCGTTTTTGCGCGAGCGCAGCCTGTCGCGCGTGCGCCACCTGGTGGCGCACGCCGGCACCCAGGGTAGGTTTTGTGCAAGCTGTGCTAGTGACGCTGGAAACCATGTTTTTGTGCCCGAACTTTCTAAACTAAAGGGAATTCGAGCAGTTGGCGTCCATGTAGCCCTCTATTCTGATACGACACTCCAGTGAGAGCAGGTTTAGTGAACAAAAAGAAGCTACTCCAGATTGATCTCCGGACACCACGCATCGAGCAACTATTGGATAGGGAATCGACATTTATAGGTAGGATCCTGGATAGGGGCCCTTACCAAGCCTATTAGCATACGAGGAAATTGGATATACGTGTTTGTGGTTTAGCAGCACGCTATATCACCGAGAGAGCTCAGACGAGAGCAGAAGCAACGCAGCTTGGGCGCGAAAACTGAATTGATCCACTTCGAGAAAACTCCGCGCAAGGAACTTCCTGCTAGTTATTACTTATTTTTATTTATTCTCATTTCTTCTCTTATTTGTGAGTTCTCTGTATTTTGCCGGGTGTTCTTACGGGTATCTTCACAGCGGGTTGCGCGCAACTTCTGGTTATACTTTTCAGGTATCCCTTTTTCTCGAATCTCTTCCGTTTCTTTTTATCTTCGCAGTTAGCCATGCTTTCTAGGGTGTAGATTTTTTGTCATTAGCTGGCTTTCTTACGGGTTTTATGTAATTTGCTTCCTCCGGGTGTTCTTACGGGTATCATCACAGCGGGTTGCGCGCAATTTCTAGTCATTCTTTTCAGGTATCCCTTTTCTCTGGTTTCTTCTGTTTCTTTTTTATCTTCGCAGTCAGCAATGCTTTCTGGAGTAACCGTTTTTATTTTCTAGCTAGTTTTCTTACTAGTTTTATGTGTTTTGCGCCTCTGGGTGTTCTTTCGATTATCCTCACAGCGGGTGCATCGTATTGCACTGCCATTTCCACACCGCATCCCAGAGTGCTCCTTTCATCTTTCTGATGGCACGCTTCATATGAGACCATGTAGGCACTACCCTTTGAGTGTGCAACCCATTGTCCGGATGAACAAAATTCTCAGTATGGTTGACCGTTTCATGTACAAATCCAATGTTTTTGATGTTATTGGCTTCTTTCCAATAGTCCGTGTGAATAGTTGTGCCTGGGAGAATATGCTTCAGCATAATCATATCGAGAGTTGCGGAGTCGCCCAAACCAATGATTTCCACGACTATACGCTTAGAGCCGTTCTCACTGCCTCCAACAATCCAATCGCCCCTAACCAAGCTTCCTCGCCGGTACATTCCTTCAATATGTGTCTCATCGACTTGCAAAATTGTGTTAGGGTTTCCAATTTCAATAGGCTTATCTTTCACTGTGGATGTTTCCATTACGACATCACGGAACCATTGGTCCCATTGATACAGGGTTCAACGCCACATTCATTCGCGCGTGTTTCAAAGGATACCATGTCGTTGACGAAGAAATGATGAAGAGACGAACGAACCAAAAACAGCTCTTCACGGGAACAAGTCAAAGTTTCAAAAGTAGGCGAGGTATCCAATCTTTACGGAAACGTCCGCTTGTCGACAGTTTCTTTCGAAGCACTCAAACTTCAGTCTGACATTTTGATTATCAAATCCGGACCGTCGTGGAACACTTCGCGGCTCTCCGCAATTCGTGCACTTTCAACTCCTCCACAAAAGGCCACGATTCGCCAGCCAAAAGTCGAAGTGACTCAGCTATGACCCCATTGTGCCCGCGATGAATATAGAGAAAATTCATGTAGGGTATGCAGATTGGCAGTCGCCTGCTGTTCATTACAGAGGATTGAGGGTACCTGAGTGCTATATGAATAATCCGCGCCATTGGCGCGGTTATCCCTTCTACGGGGATTCAAGCATTAGCGGCTATAATACTATTCAAAGTTTGAAGGTGCGCAGTCATAATAGTATGGTTAGAATTTGAACATGCACGGTAATAACAGGTACAGATGTTACCTCTGCCGAGAGGGCGCACACGAGCAGAGAATAACTGCCCTTCCCCC